ATGTTTTGTTTGTAAGAACTTATGTAATTAACCCTGTGTCAATATTTTTTTCTGCTTTGTGTTAAATAGATTTGAGGTTTTTTATTTTATATTATATATATCTCTGAATTTTAATGTAGTCACATCTGTCCACCCTTTTGGTGGTTTCTGATATTGATTCAGGATTAAAACAGCATTTTTCTTTGGGGTACTATTTTATGGATTTTGTTCTCACAATTCACTGTAATTGAAATTAATTTCAAAGCACGTGATGAGATACCGGGATCTTGTTTGCTTCCTGCGTGAGATGCTTGAGCCCTGCTCAGCACAGGGCAACCCTAGCCCTGTTTTGCCCCTCACTTTCCTGGTTATGCTGCTTCCTGGCATTTCATCCAATATAGCGTTTTGGCACTCTTAGAAGTCTTGTGATTTTGTTGATAAGTTTATGCAGTTGCACTATGTTAATGCCATTTATTAATTGATTCCTTCTCTCCTTTTGGGGAGATACTGAAAAGTGGACCACCATGGGAACTTGCTATCTCAGCCATCTGGACTTAACTGTTTGGAATCACAGCTGAAAGCTCATGGAAGCAGAATTTCACATCCAATGACTCCATCTCGGACCTTATAACCAGAAAAATTTGTCATGGATACCAAGGCCAGTGTTGTATTCAGACTCTAACATAGTTGCATTTCTTTGGAGCTGTCTTTCCACTTCCACCTCCTCCATGAAAGATATCAAAACTGGCCACAATAACTTTCCCAGAGCAGATTAAGAGAGAGTGCCAGATCCCTTGATAATGAAATGATTCTTGGGCTATGATTTTTACCCTGTTTGCTGAGGCGGGTTTGAAGTAGTTTCTGTGAGGCCACAGGGATGCTGGGTCTCTTGGCCCTCCAGATGCCTCTTACACACCTCCCTCAGGGACAGTTTTCAGAAAGCTTTGCATAGTGTCCTTCGGGACACGTGTACTGGTCTTCAAAAGACAGCAAAGTTTGGGCCGGCCCGGTGGCGCACTGGATAGTGCGCTGCTTGGGAAGCGCGGCGG